CTGAAAAGGGTGAACCAAAGTGCAGGTTCCACTTCAGTTGGCTGGTAAAGTCTCAAGTAATGGTCCCCCACAAAACTACCACACCTGGCCTAAAGTACCCCTCTTCCCCACATTTATAACTTTGTTTTCCTCTTTCCCTTTTGGTGGCCCTCAGCTCTGGTGCCTCTTCTTCTTCTTCTTCTTCTTCTCTTTTTTTTTTTTAGTACCAGGGATCGAACTCAGGACCTTGTGCTTACAAGGCAGGCAGCAGCACCACTGAGCTAAATCCCTGGCCCATCTGGTGCCCCTTCTGATGGCCCTGTCATAAAAGTTTTGGCTTTTAGGCACCAGGATCAGTCTTTTCCTTCTTTATCTGCTCCATGATTGAGAGCATAATTTTAGCTTTTTGTTTTGCTTCTCTTCATCTCTCTTTACATACACTTTCTGTGCTTCCCTCAGTAACTCCTCTAGTTGCCTATCTTTCCAATCTTCAAGTTTCTGAAGTTTCTTAGATATCTGGCCAACTATTGGTAACAAAATGGAGCTCTAACATACCTTCACCTAGGGGGTAATCAAGATTTAGTCTGGAGTATTTTCTCATCTGGTCTTTTAATCTGTTAAAATATTTAGCTGGAAAAATAAAATAAAATATTCAGGTAGTCATTCTTTCTTTTCCTGTTGGATGCCGAAAGTCTTAGCAATGTTTTTAGATTGGGGAACTGACTCCCTTATTCCTTTTAAAATCAAGTTTCTTAGGTCTCTCATGTGTTCCCAGTGGTCTTCATTGTTATCCCACCAGGGTTCCTGGTTAGGGAACTTAATCTCTGCAGTTAAGACGCCAGGGCCAGCCAGATTCTCTTACTCCCAGGGCCAGTGCTGCTCTCCTAATCCGCTCCTCTCCAGAGAATAGGATCCTAAGATAGACAGTCTGTCTGTAATATAGGCCTAAAAATTGGTCTAATTGGTCAGCCACCCCATGGGGATGTCCCAGGAGGGGGTACAGTTACTTTTTTAAGCTCTGAACTTTGGAACTGGTTAAGGGGGCACTGATGAACTCAATTCCTCCTCCCACTAGGGGAACTTCCCTAAGAGGGTATAATGCCTGCATCTTCCCTTTATCCAGAGAGGGGAAAGTTTTGAACATCCTTTTTAATTGTTCTAGCTCCTTTCTCAGTTTAGGAAGGGAGGGATAACATGAAAGGGGAGGGGCTGAGGCTGCTGTAGCCTCAGACAGTGGTAGTAGGGATGCAAGCCAGGCAGCTGCATCCTCACTTGGGTAGGAAACAGAGGCAACAGTGGAAGCCAAGGCAGGCGGGCAGCTCAGATTCATTTGGAACTGTCTCTTCCCAGTTTTGATCTGCTGGTTCTGGCAGACAAGGCCTCTGGTTGTATGGAGGCAGTAGACAGGCGAGGGGATTCCATCGGTTACCCTCTTCTTTCCTCTCTTTCCCAGTTTTCAGGGAGAAATAAAACCACTGGGCCCCACTTCTGGCACAGGGGCATAATCAACCTCTTCCTGGGAGACAGAGCTTTTTATCATTAACGTGTCCAATCAAAAGTTGACAGACCCCGGCCGGGGATTTAGCTCAGTGGTGCCGGCCCCTGGCCCGCAAGCACAAGGACCCGAGTTTGATCCCCGGTACCAAAAAAAAAAAAAAATGTTGATAGACCCAATCCTCATCAGACTCAAAATTTGGGCCAGAAAAGAGAAGGGTTGAGGATAGGTTTCTGGATCCAGATGAAACAACATTTTATCATTTGTTGGTTTTTTTTTTGGTACCGGGAATCAAACTCAGGACCTTGTACTTTCGAGGCAGATGGCTGCACCACTGAGCTAAATCCCCAGCCCCTGTTGTTTCTTTTTATTCTTAGTTCTCTCACTATGGCTCCAATGCTGGGGCATTTGCCTCCAAGGGCCTATCTGGAAGGATTTTTAATTTCTTTTTCTCTAAAGCTTTTTTAAGCTTGATTATTACTCACTGCGGCTTTTCTGAGTATGAAAGGTTCCCTAGATGCTCAACCCCCTCTCCTGTGGAAGTTTCTTGCACCCTAGCCCAAACACTTTGTCTGTCTCTGACCGACTCCCTCAAGGGACTATATCTGGTTCCCAGATGTCTATGGAACTGCATTGCAGGACCTCACGTCAGCTTCATGTCCCAGACAGGTCTCAATCTCTAACAACCCTGGGATGACCCAACCACCAAGGAAATACTTTGTCACCATCTGTGATGTTTCTTCCCTTGGTCTGTGTAGAGTTAACCAGATGCTGCAGTGCTTGCTTGGGCCTTATTATCCAATTCCCAAGAGCTTTTCTATCCTGGGGTCCTTACCAGTTCAAGGAGCACCAATCACCCAGGACCTCGAGGCCACCACAACCAGGATGTGGGACACATTTCCCCCAGGCAAAGGGATCCGGGCGCCTCTCTGAATGAATAGAGGGCTTCACATTGGGCACCCAATTTTGGGGCATGAATTCTCTGGTGTCACCAACAGGACAAAAGAAAACATGAATTCTTGAAAATGCCTCAGTAAGGCAAATTTTACTTCTGCAGAAGAGTGCAAAGCTAGAAGCAACCAAGCGCATCAAGTTCACTCAGATGGCCACTATGCCTTGCTTCACTGGTGGGAGTGTAGCCTTACAATCTAACTCAATTGGGTAGTTTAATGAGATCATGGTTGCTGGGGAAAGCAGAGTTCTGGGATCTGGAAAGCACTTTGTTACAAAGTTTTATGGCAGGTGGACAGGCACCTAGCACTTTTTCTTGAGTTTTCGAAAGATAGTGAAACAAACGTGTACATTTTACAAAATCAGGATTGTACAAAAATAGGGATTCTTATAAAATGGAGTTATTTTAATTATCTCTTTTGACAGAAAAGACTACCTTTTTTCACAGTTTGAACCCAGCCTGTGCTACACAGGAAATTTCAAGGCCAGCTTGAACTACATAGCGAGACCCTATCTTTAAAAAAAAAAATGTAGTGGCCATAGCTCTTTAGCAGTCAGTCTGCAAATGTCTGAGTGCCTACTCTGTTCCAGGTATGATTTGCAGCCCTACAAATCAGAGGTGAACAGACAAAGCACCTGCTCTGCAGGTGACATTCCAGGTGGGTCAACACACACCGAGAGGTATGAATTAAACATTGCTGAGAATGCTCCTTCTCAGCAATAACTTTTCAGAAGAGGAATGACAGAGTCATTTTTGAGTTTTAGCTGAACACAAAGAAATCTCACTCTTCTGTTAAAAGAATTCCAATCTGTGCAAGTAGTACCAATTTCAAAAGTGAGTCACCAGTGTCAGGAAGATCAAAGTTTGAGGCTAGCTTGAGACTCTGCGTCAAAGTACTGTAAAAACAAACAAACAAAAAAACTTCTAAAGGGGCCAGGAATGTAGCTTACGGGTAGAGTACTTACCCAGCAGTGGGAGGCCATATGTCCAATCGCCAGCACTGCAAAGAAAAAAAAAGTAAGAGTCCTGAATATTTATTTATTAGTAGTCAGCCCATTGGGAACAAAATAATTAAAACGCTTAAGATGGCTGGGGATATAGCTCAGTGGTTCCGCCACCAGCCCCATAAGCGCAAGGACACGAGTTCGAGTTCGCAAGCCCAGTACCAAAAAGAACAAATAAAACACTTAAGAAAAGAATTCTGGTTGAAATCTTTAACAGAACTCCAATTAACGACTCCCTGGTAGGTGATCTAAAACAGCAACAAACCTTTGATTTGCCACCCTTTCATTCCTCTGAGTCAGGACCCATCTTCTCTAAAAGATATGCATAGACCTCCTTAAAACCTTACTTAAAGCCAAAGATCTATGGTCAGAAGCAAGTGGCTTTGTAGGAATTGTAGCTAAAAATATAGTATCAGCCAGGCATGGTGGCACACACCTGTAATTCCCACACTCAAGAGGCTGAAGCAGGAGGATCACTGTGAGTTCAAGGCCAACCTGAGCTGCATAGCTAGAACCTGTCTCAGGCCCATCCCTCATATATATATAAAATTTTAAATTCAATGCAGCTGTTCCCCGAAGATCTACAAGGTGCTAAATGATCCAGGAAGAGATACATAGAGATTCTTTGGATAATTTGCTGCCTAAGGTGGGCATGGTAGTGGATGTCTGTAGTCCCAGCATTTGGGAGGCTGAGGCAGGACTCCCGCCAGTTCGCCAGTTTGAGGCCAGCTTGGGCTATATAGTGAGCTCAAGGATAGCTTGAACTACAGAACAAGACCCTGTCTTAAAGAAAAAATGCTATCTTGACCCATCTCAAACTCATAAAGTCCCAAATCTCTCATCCTGAGGAGCAGTAGGAAGTGCATCTTTTTTTTTTTTTGTACCAGGGATCGAACTCCGGTCCTTGAGCTTGCGAGGCAGGCGGCGGAACCACTGAGCCAAATCCCCGGCCCAGGAAGTGCATCTTGATCTAAATTAACTTTGTATTTTCTTTTTTCTTTTTAACCGGGGATCGAGCTCGGGACCTTGTGCTTGCAAGGCAGGTACCAGAACCACTTGAGCTAAATCCCGGGCCCTCTTTGTGTTTTCTACATTGTCTATTGGTAAATTCCTGTACCTGCCAGGCTCACCAGCCCTCCAAACGCAATTATCTTTAGGTGACAGCCAGTACCTGAAAAATGCAAATGATCATGCAAGATAAAGACCTAACTCCCCAACACACACTTTTGGTTTTGTTTCGTTTCGCATGGCAGCGGGTTCCGACCCCCCCCCCCCCCGCAACGTGCGCTAAGGTCGGAAACAATTTGCACACTGGACTAGTATGCTCCCCAGGGCAGAAAACCCACAAAGCGGGCAACGTCGGCCTCCACCGGACGGGGATGAATCATCTAGGCCAGGGGCGGAAGGCGAGGGGGAGAGACAAGTATGCAGTGCGCAATTGCGGAACCGCAGCCGTCCAGGAGCCGGCAGCCGGGACCTCGGACACGGCGCGGCCGGAAGGGGGTTCCGTTAAGGTAGACTAGCGCTGCAAGCGTAGGAGAGCGGCCGCGCAGCGCCGCGTCCCCCCTCCGCAGTGAATTCTACTGAGGGAACGCGGGTCCCAGTTCCCGCGAGGTTTTCTCACTTGGGCCGCTAGGGCAGGCGACTGCACCCTAGAGGTCGCAGTTCCAGGCTTCGGGGTGTGGCCTTGAGATCCGGGTTTCAGACAGTGCTCTCACTTTCGCGGGGCTGTCAGATCCGGGTGGAGACCCCTGCACCCTTCCCAGATCCGTGTTTCAGTACCTCAGGCTTCTCGGGACTGCACCAGTTGGGCCTCGGTCCTCATGGCCGACCAGAAACTGGTGGTGGTTTTCGGAGCCACAGGTGAGCGAGGCCCGAGGGCATAGGGCTCTGCCTGGCCTGCAGAGCCGAGGCCGCAGGCCTGGGAGCTGGAGGGAGTGAGGGCTGAAGTCCTCGGACCCACGGAAGCCGGGAGGCGCGGCGCACACCCGGGGGGCACACATTACTATTGAATTTAAAAATAAGTAAGTAAATTTAACTGGACGTGCTGGCGCACATTGGCAATCCCAGCCACCTGGGAGGCTGAAGCAGGAGCATCCGTAATTGCCAGGCAAGACCTGCCTCAAAATAAAAAAGGGTTGGAGATGTAGTTTAGTGGTAAAGCACTTGCCTAGCATGTGCCGGGCCCTGGGTTCTGTGTAGCAACATCAACAACAAAAGTGACTTGAAGAGAATACCAAAGTTAAAATTTCCCACCCGATTCTTCCATCAGTTACCAAGTTGCTCCCCTCCCCGGTACTGAGAATTGAACCCAGAACCTTTGGAATGATTGAACTCAGAACCTTGCTTGCAAGGCAGGCGCGGTGCCACTGAGCTAAATCCTTGGCCCATCCCCAGACGTTTTAAAAAAATTAGAGACAGGGTTTTGCTAAATTGAGATTTTGCTCAAGCTGAGCTGCAGTTTTCCATCCTTCTGTCTCAGCCTCACGAATGCTGGGATTACAGGCATGTGCCACCAAGCCTGGCTTGATGACTTTAATTTGTAAATTTCCTTGGCATTTTTAATTTTTATTTATTTTTTTCCTTGGCATTTTTTATTTCTTTGTTTCTTTCTCTTTTTTAACCCCCTTAGCATTTTTTAAAGGCATAGATGATTTTTTTGGAGGGGGGTTCTTACTGCAATGCTCAGTCCAGCCTCAGTTTCCTGAGCTCAGGTGAGTCTAAGCCTCCTCGATAGCTGGGACTACAGGTAGGTACACCTCACCCCATGTCCAACTCTAAAATTTTATAAAAGGGTGAAGTGAACTGGGCATCCCTGTAATCTCAGCATTCAGGAAGCTGAAGCAGGAGGATTGCAAATTCCTTCTAGTTCTAGGCCAGCCTGGGCCACATAGAAATTTAAAGGCAAGCCTGAGCTACAGCGAGAGCCAGTTTCAAAAATTTTAAAACAAACCAATCAAAATTTTTTAAAAAGGGCTGGGATATAGCTCAGTGCCTCAAAGAAAAAATAAATAAATAAATGTTATGGTAAGTGAATTTTATCTAAATGACACTTATTTAAAAATGGTTTAATGAGGCTGGGGGTGTGGCTCAGTGGTGGAACACTTACCTAACATCATGAGGCCCTGGGTTCAATTTCTTGTACTACAAAAATAAATAACTATGATTTTGTATATGTGCTGACAAAGTGCTGCCATAAATAACTACAGTTTATTGAGAATCATGCATGAATATTTCCTGCTATAGTGGAACAGTCTCTTCCAAGTTTCACCCTTCATGGGACTTGTCATTTTGACACTTTGCAGGTGCCCAAGGGGGCTCAGTGGCCCGCACACTCCTGGAAGATGGAACATTCAGGGTTCGAGTGGTGACCCGGGACCCTGGGCAGAAGGCATCGAAGGAGCTGAGGCTGCAAGGCGCAGAAGTAGCGCAGGGAGACCAGAATGACGGAGCCAGCATGGAGAAGGCCCTGACTGGAGCTCATGCTGCTTTCATCGTGACTAACTACTGGGAGAATTGCAGCCAGGAGCAGGAGGTCAAGCAGGTAAGGGCAGGTATGAAGGCTTGAGAGGGGAAGCCAAGGCTAGGAATGCTGGTTTTAGAAGGATAATGCCAGCTACCTGGGAGGCTGAGGCAGGAGGATCTCAAGTTCAAAGCTAGCCTGGGCAATTTAGCAAGACCCTATGACAAAATAAAATAAAGAGTTGGAGATGTAGCTTAGTGCTCCTTGGGCTCAATCGTCAGTACTGCCACCAGCAAAAAAGTAGCTCCATCTTGCCAAAGAGCACTGTGACATTTCCACTCTTATTCATGCCGCCATGGGCTTTGATGGGGACCAATTCTCAAGCACATGAGCTCTTAGGCAACAGACCACATCTAAACCATAGCACACAGAGTGGACAAAGACAACTTCCTTTCTTGGAGCAGATCTCATCTTTTACATTCTGAGAAAACCTCTGAGATTCTTGGGACTATTATAATGAATGAACATAATCCAGATGGTTTAAAATCCACAGAAATGGATTTTCTCCTGGTTCTGGATGCTACAAGTCCAAAATCAAGCTGTGAGCAAGGCCACACTCCTTCCAAAGGCTCTAGGAGAGAACCCTTTCTCACATCTCCCAGCTGCTGGTGGCTCTGGTCATTCCTTGGCTTGTGCCTGTATCACTCCAGTTTCTGTCCCTTTGTCTTCACATGGACTCCTCCATGTCTTTTACTCTTTTTTTTTTTTTGGTACCGGGGATCGAACTCGGGTCCTTGCGCTTGTGGGACAGGCAGGCGGCGGAACCACTGAGCTAAATCCTTGGCCCTCCATGTCTTTTACTCTTTTTTTTTTTTTGGTACCGGGGATCGAACTCGGGTCCTTGCGCTTGTGGGACAGGCAGGCGGCGGAACCACTGAGCTAAATCCTTGGCCCTCCATGTCTTTTACTCTTGTCTCATAAGGACACTTGTCATTGGATTTAGAGCTTACTTCATTATCTTTAATAATCTCTTCTAAAGACCCTTAATGGCAACTGCAAAGACCCTTTCTCTAAATAAAGTCAGAGTTATAGGTTTTCAAGGGTGAGGACATGGGTATATCTTAGAGGTTACTATCCAACCCCCTACGCAATGAAGCAAATGTTATTTGCTTGGGTGTTTGTTTTTTCCCCTTCTGGTACTAGGGATTGAATCTAAAACCTCATGTTTGCTAGACAAATGCTCTACCACTGAGATGCATCCCTAGCCCTTTGTTTTTGAGATGATCTCATTATGTAGTTCAGGCTGACCTTGAACTCACTACAAAGCACAGGCTGGCCTTGAACTCAAGCCAATCCTGCCTCCACCTCCTCAGAGCTGGGATAACTGCTCACCCAGCCTTTTTTACAAATTTTATTTTTATTTATTTACTTTTGTTTTTCTTGAGACGGGGTCTTGCTATTTAGTTCAGGCTGGCTTGAATTCACTGCCCAGGCTGGCCTCAAACTCATGATGATCCTCCTGCCTCAGCCTCCTGAGTGCTGGGATTACAGGTGTGCGCCACCATGCCTGTCACAAATTTTATTTTGAGACAAGGTCTTGATAAATTGCCCAGGCTGGACTTAAACTTGTGATCCTCATGCTTTAGTCTCCCTAATAGGTGAGAATACAGGCCCATGGTACCAGGCCTGGGTTATTACTTGCATTTAACTGATGAAGTCAGAATATATCACACATCCTGGATCGTGCAGCCTGTGTGCTCAACTGCCAAGCTGTAGCACCTCTGTAGTGGAGCGATCGCATCTCCTTCTCCAAGGAAGTTAGCTGAGCTCCATAGACAAAACTCAGACCAGCAAGAATGGGATGTGGATGTCAGATGTTTCTCTGTGAAGCCCTCCCCCAAGCAGCATACTTGCCCATACTCCCTTGCACATGGTGGGCTGCAATTGAGAATAATCAAATGTTCTATCGCTTCTCGGCCTTTTGGCTAAGATCAAGTGGAGAATAATCAAATGTTCTAGAAAGGTGACCTTAGAGCCTGGTGGTAGAAGGCTTATAGTTCTGAGTTGAAGGAGGTGATGCCATGTGTGAGCACCATTCTGGAAGAGTGGGTTTCTTCCTGGGTAGGTGGGCCTGGGTTTTAGCCTCACCCTGTGACAACTCTGGGATCAGAGCATCAGTGGGGGCTATGGTTGGGGTCTCACATCCTTCCTCTTAGCCTTGTGGTCTCTCCTCTGCCTATCAGGGAAAGCTGCTGGCTGATCTGGCCAAGCACCTGGGCCTCCACTATGTGGTCTACAGTGGCTTGGAGAACATCAAGAAGCTGACCGCCGGGAGGCTGGCAGCTGGCCACTTTGATGGCAAAGGGGAAGTGGAGGAATATTTCCGAGACATCGGTGTTCCTATGACCAGTGTGCGGCTGCCCTGCTATTTTGAGAACCTCCTTTCCTACTCTCTGCTCCAGAGAGCCCCAGATGGAAAAAGCTACTTGCTAAGTGAGTGCCCTTCCCCATGTACAGTGAGGAGAGTTCTTACCCTGTGAAGCTGCGGGTATATTAGAAAAGCAGGCTTGTCAGGTGGTTCTGGGTCCAAGCTCTGGTTCCCTCGAATCAGACCCGAGACTTGGCCTTGACTGATGTCCACAGGGGCAATGAGAAAATCTATGGCAGTAGTGGTGATGTGATGCTTTGTCTGATAGCTTTACAGAGAGAGGAGCATGGTTATTGTTACTTTTTCTTCAAAGATGAGGAGGGCTGGGCATATATTTCAGTCAGAAAAGTTGTGCAAGGCCCCTGAGTTGTATACCCCGCACCCCCTCAACCTCCCCTACACCCCCAAAAAAGATTTGGACAATAGGGTTGTTACAGATTTCACAAAGTAGGAAAGCTGCCTCTTCTCACGGTCTGCTGGCTAATACAGAAACAGGTTAGGTGCACTGGCCCCAGTTTGGAAGGAAACTTCCATCAACATGCATCCTGCCATGGCCAGGGATTTAGCTCAGTGGTTCTGCTGTCCGCTTCAAAAGCTTGAGGTCCCAAGTTCAATCCCTAGTACCAAAAAACCCAAAAACCAAAACATGCGTCCTGCCAGTCAGTGAGTGATGAGAGCAGGACACACCAGAGACCACAGTGAGAGAGGTTGGTGCCTACTGGCTACTCTTTATCCTGTGTTAACACCACTCACCCTCACCTGAGGGATAAAGCACTGCCAGGGCCCAGGGGAGTCCTGTCCACCTGCAAGTGGAGTCCAGTGCTAGGAACAGCCCACTGACACTGCCCTTTATATTATGTAAGACAGTTGTCAGGAATACCTTGCATTCTATTCTTAGTTGGACTCTGTCTTACTTTTCTCATTGATGAGACAAAATACCCGACACCCAAAGTTAAAGGAGGAAAGGTTTATTTCAGCTCACAGTTTGTAGAAGTTTCAGTCCATAATTGGCTGGCTCCAAGGCAGGGCAGCATGGCAGAGAGGCATCACAGAAGAGAAACAGTCCATGGCAGAAGGCAGCAAAGCTGCAAAGTAGCAAGTGAATACAGCAGCCCTCTTTTTGTCCCTTATATTCTATCCAGGCTACTTGCTCTTCAGGCAGGTAACACACCCAGGGTGGGGCACCCTTAATCCTAGCATCACCCATGAATCAATCCCAGCATCACATCCTTAATCCTAGCATCAGACACTAGATCCAGCCACCTCCAAAAAGCCCCACCTGTGACCACATGAGGCTTTGGGGGGATACCTCCACACAAACCATAACAGGCTCTACCCCCTCAGGCCCCTTGGGTAATCTGAACAGGCAGCTGGATGACCCTTTTCTTGGTGAAGAAGATAACAGGACCTACCCACTCTTGACTCCACTCCACTGACAGGTCGGTGTCCAGGTGCCCAGTAGACTGACTGCTGGGAAGAGCTCCAGACACCCTGAGGCTGTGTCTGCCAGCACATCTCTCTGCCCCACAGACTTGCCCATGGGTGATGTCCCTATGGATGGCATGGCTGTGAGCGACCTGGGTCCTGTGGTGCTCAGTCTGCTGAAGATGCCAGAAGAGTACGTCGGGCAGAACATTGGGCTCAGCACTTGCAGGCACACTGCAGAGGAGTATGCTGCACTGCTCACTAGGCACACCGGCAAGGCTGTGCACAACACCAAGGTGGGCTTATGCTTCCGGGGATGGGGATGGGGATGGGATGTTGTCCCAGGTCCTATAGAGCAACAGCCTCTGACTTCTAACTCTCAAAGGAGCCTTTTGGGATTGTAGGGAAGGAGTGTCTAGGGCTACCCATCCCTCTGAACAATGCTAAGTTAACTGTCATTGTTAACCTTCACGTTGTGCTGTTTCTGAGACCTTCGTGTGGCCAGAGTGACATTTCTGGCTTAGGCATTTTACCAAGGAGACAGAAAAGTGTCTAGGAAGAATGGACTATAGGAGCCAAGGCAAGGAAGGTTGAAAAGGCAAGGCTCCCTGGGTCCTCTTTGAAGGATGTATATTGACAGGACAAAGGCCAGACCTATTTCCTGTCAGCATGGCTGGGTGGCCAACAGCATTTCCCTGGTTCCTCTCTCTGCTGACCATGAGGTTTCCTGGCCAGACCCCTGGATTCTTTGTTTCTAATGTTATCTTGCTCATTAAAATCTGGGGCCTCCCATGGTGTGCACACTTGGAATCCCAGCAATCAGGAGGCTGAGGCAGGAGGGTTGCTATGAGTTCAAGGTCAGCCTGGGCTACATAGTGAATTCAAGGCTAGCCTGAACTACATAGTGAGACCCTGTCTCAAAGATAAATAAATAAATAATCTTGTACTGGAGATTGAACTCAAGCCTTTGCACTGAGCTACATCCTCAGCTTTTTTTTTTTTTTTTGGTACCGGGTATCAAACTCAGGTCCTTGTGCTTGGGGGCAGGTGGTGGCACCACTGGGGCTAAATCCCCAGCCGTAGGCTTGAACTTTTGATTCTTCTGCCTTAACCTCCTAGAGGGCTATGAAGGATTTGAAGAGCTAAGGAGTTAAGATTTAGTTCTGCTTGCCATAGTGGTACACACCTTTAATCCCAGAATTCTGGCAGGCTGAGGCAGGAGGATCTTGAATTCTAGTCCAACCTGGGCAATTTAGTGACTTAGCAAGACCCTGTCTCAAAATTTAAAGGGAAGGAGGCTTGGGATGTAGCTCAGTGTGAAAGCCCTAGGTTGACTCTCCAGTAAGCACCCCCCCCCAAAAAAGAGAAAGTTTGAGTGAGAAAAGGAACAGTTTTGACTTGAGCAAAAAAAAAAGTGATGTTGCAGATTTCTGGTTTAGAGGAGGGACTCAGACATTTTTCATCTCATGATCCTGAAAGGACAGTCTTTAGACGACTATATATCAGCTAGCTCTTGAGAACAGTGTTTCCAAACTTGGCTCTCTTTGGAAAGTTTCAAATGACCTCATACTGAGGACTTCGGTCACCAATCCAGAGGCCAAGCGGCTCTGGGAGAAGCATGTGGAGAGACCCCACCCCCTCTCCTGCTTCTCCTCACTCCCTTCCTGGGCTGTTGGAGGAGGCCAGATGTGTTGGGCTCCCTCTACTTCCAGATAACTCCTGAGGACTATGAGAAGCTTGACTTCCCCGGAGCCTGTGACCTGGCTAACATGTTCCGTTTCTATGCCCTGAAACCTGACCGAAACATTGAGTTGACCCTGCGTCTCAACCCCAAGGCCCAGACACTGAATCAGTGGTTGGAGCTGCACAAAGGGGACTTCACCCAGCTCTGACCTCCATTTTACAGCCCCAAGCCAAGGGACAGGAGACCCGGATGCACAATCATCCTTTCTTGTATACAAAAAAAATTTTTTTTTTCAAATAAAGCCATTGTTCTCCCAGATGGCTTCCAAAAGAAAAGGGCTCTGTTTCTGTGGGTTGGGGTGGCAGGTGCTGGGACACCAATAGTCCGAAAATTCCAAAAGGCACCAAATGGCTGAGGCAAGTGCCCAGCCTCCCGCTGCCCTCAATAAAGGGGCAGGAGGGTGGAGGGCAGGCTGAAGGGATCATTTGATAAACAGTGATGATGAATGTGTTCAAGTTTACTCAGATTTGAAATGGGAGTGTCCACCATCTGCTTATAGGACAGTCATGGTGACCCTTTTATTTATTTAGGTACCAGGGATCGAACTCAGGACCTTGCTCTTTTGAAGCAGGTGCAGAGCCACTGAGCTAAATCCCTGGCCAAACCTTTTAGATCTTTCAGTAATACAAACAGCCTGCTGTGGCACCTGTGCCATAGGTTTGCCACCACTGCTGTAGGAGCAGCTGTGACCAGCACCTGCCCATTCTCACTGCAGTTGAATCCATCCACAGACCAGGTGTACACAGCACAGACTCCAGCTGGCCACCAGCAACAACACTTCTGACATCCCTGCACCCCATTCATTGCCAGAGCCAGTAAGGGCACCTGCACATTTGTTGAGTTGGGGAAAGACTAAGGACAGGGCAGAAGGGGAAGATGATTTCCCTTTCCCTCTCACCCTGTGTATGCCCAGGCTGTATGCAGCCTTCGGAGCAGGTACGGAGAAAAATGAATGGCACTGGCGATGAGGCAGTGTGGCCTGTGATGGGCTCTTTTGGTGGGTCAGCCCTTCAGCTGCACCCCTTAGAGGGTATACAGCAGAGACCCAGAGAACACAGGTGTCTCCGTGAGATTCTGTGGTGAGTATATGAATTTTTAATCTGTATGGGTTTGTGTAGCTGTCATTATACCATCTTTACTACTATACTCTGGCCTCCAACCCTTCCAGGCATGAAAATGGTCCAGCAGTCCTAGCACATTCCCTCTGTAAATTAACTGAGGCATTTCCTCAGCCCTAATTTACCAGTGTGCTAAGCCCTAACTACAGTATTAACCGAAGGTATGCTCTCTGGCTCAATAAGCTTATCTAGTGGGAAAGCCAGATGGAAATAGGCAATAAAGAATTACAGGAGCTGGACATGGTGGTGCATGCCTGTAACTCCAGCTCAGGAGGCTGAGGCAGGAGATCACTTCAAGTTTGAGGCCAGTCTGGTCTATACAGTGAATTAAGGACAGCCTGAACTGCCTAGTGAGACCCCAACTCAAAAAAAAAAAAACAATTTTAGTGAGAACATGAACTACCTCAGGTGGAAGACTTACGTTGAGGTCTACAGGCGGGGCAAGAGCCTTCCAGGCCAGGTAGGACCAAAATACAGTGACGAGTGTCTCCCAAGCCCACTTAGGTCAAGAATAGGATATGAGGGGTAGGTCACCTATGTTCAATCCCCCATGAAAGACCACCTAGGCCTGTTGCAGTTAGCTCCTGGACATGGGCTGGGATCAGCAGCACCCAGACCTGGGAAAAAACCCCCAAAACCCAGTCCCAGCCAGCTCCTCACCCCAAGCAGCAGAGCCAGGCAGGGCTGCATCACCAGCCCTCTTGGTATTTGCTCATCTGGGGCCTATGTGGCAGGCAGTGGTGAGGACACCAAGTCATTTGTGCAAAGCAGTGTCTTAACTTTCCCCATCCCTGCCCTGTCACCTTCCTCCTCATGTGCCATGCAGCATCAGAGCCCTGCTAACCTCCAAGTGGGGCATCTTCAGTGTGGTCATGTCCCACCAGCTGCTATCCTAGACCACAGTGGGAACAGGTCAAGTTCCCAATGCAGTGAGTGGGGAGAACTGCACAGTGCTCTACAGAATGTTTTGTGTGCCACAAATGACACACACTGCACATAAAAATACATGCCTTGGGCCCAGGGATGTAGCTTAGTGGTCGCACACTTGCCTAGTTTGTATGAGGCCCAGGGTTCAATCCCCAGTACTGCAAAAAAAAAAAAAGCCTCATGCTTTAAACTATTTGACCTAAAGCATACCTGTGTCCTCCACCTGCTTCTCTTTCCTTGTCTCTTGGCCATAACCAAATGTTACGGGACCCTTCCTCCATCCCGGGTACTAACATCAAGGTGCCCTGTGGCAGCCAGCATTAATCTTGGGTTCAGTGCTGCTATGCTGACTGCACATAAGAGTAAGAGCCTCTGTGTTTGCATGAGGTGGGATGCTGGGGACCCAGGCCAGTACCACACGGGATAACCAGCCTCATAGGGTCCTGCTAGTTGAGGGGTTCCCAGCATAAGTACCAATCCAGTAAGCCATATATACCTGGTCTGAAATTTGTTCCCCTAAAACATGTTTGCTGCATTTATTTATTAGTACTGGGGATTGAACTCGGGACCTTGCGCATTCGAGGCAGGTGGCAGAACCACTGAGCTACATCCCCAGCCCTACATAGTGAGTTCAAGGCCAGCCTGAACTACATAGCAAGACCCTGCCTGAGAAAAAGAAAAATTTCTGGGCTATCCATATAATGGAATATTTATTACTCAGCCCTAAAAAGCATGGCATTCTGATACATGCTACAACATGGATGAACCTAGAAAACATTATACAGTAAAAGCCAGACTACAAAAGGTCACATGTAATCATTTCATTTCTGTGAAATGTTCAGAAAGTAGATGAGCAACTGGTAGAAACTTGCAGGCTTGGGGGAGTATTAACAGGAGGGAGTACTAACAGATATGGGCTTTTTTTGTGGAGTAATGAAAATTTTTAAAATTGTGATGTATGCCCACCCAACTGTGAATTAAAACCTTCTGACTTATCACTCTAAATATGTAAACTGTATGACATGTGAGTGACATTACAAAACTGTTACCAGAGAGCTGAGGCAACTGCTGGTAAAAACTCAGGGCCTGGGGCTGGGCATTTAGCTCAGTGGTTCCACTGCCTGCCTCCAAAGTGCAAGGTCCCCAGAGTTTGATTCCTGGTACCAAAACAAAAAACAAGAAGAAAACCCCAGGGCCTGACTTCTCTTGGAAAGCGCTGATCTGGCAGCATTGTGTCTGGATTCCCTAGGAGCTGTTGTGGCTGGAGCTGAGTAGTGTCCCCTCAATAGAGCAGCCAGTATCCACCACTCCCTGTGAACCCACTTCACTTTTTTTTGGTACCAGGGATCAAACTCAGGATCTTGTGCTTGCAAGACAGGAATGGTGCCACTGAGCTAAATCTCCAGCCCTTCCACCTCACGTTTTTATGTAAAGTTCCAGACTGGCTCCCTCATGACCCTTTGAGAGAGTCATGCCAAAATAACAGCAGTTCTAGTTAGAAGGTATGAAGTGCAGATTTAACAGTTATCAAGCAAGAATGCTTAAACGTGCCTCTGCAAAGTCTGACCAACAGTGAAGGCAAGGCGGTCTGGTGCAGGGGCAGCTTGAGGACTTGTAGAAGTGTGGAGAGGATGCTCTTTTCTGTTTTGTTTTTAGGGACATGGTCTCACTATGTAGTCTGAGCTAGCCTCAAACTCAGAGCAGTCCTCCTGCCTCAGCCTCCTGAGTGCTTGAAGAGGATTCCTGTTCATTGAGGGATTCTGGTGACAGGAGGCAAAAGCCACTGCATCAGAACCTAGGTAAACTTTTTTTTTTTTGGTATAGGGGATCGAACTCAGGTCCTTGCGCTTGCGCAGCAGGCAGCGAAACCACTGAGCTAAATCCCCGGCCCTAACCTAGGTCAACTTTAAGAAGGGTGGCTGAGGTTGGTGATAAAACAGCAGTGGCCTGAGAGGGGCTGCAGCTGAGGGCCAGTTCCCAAGAGTGGGCCTCACCCACTCTTAGACTGACATTTCAGCAAATGGTATATATCCATCAACCTTTCTCCCTATTCTCAATCCCCCAAAACTCAGGGACCTAGCTCCCCATCTCCTCCCAGTTCTGGGGATTGAACCCAGGACCTTCGCACTGAACCTTACTCCCAGCCCCTTTTAATTTTTTTATTTTGGGACAGGGTCACTCCTACCTCAGCCTCCCAGAGTACAGGGATCACAGGACTGTACCACAATGCCTGCCCCCGCCTTTGGGTTTTTTTCTTTTGCATTCTTATATATATCATCTTGCACCCTAGCCCTAACTCAGAGTACAAAGTTACCTGGAAACAAGTGTCTCAGAAGCCATGTGTGGATATAAATTAAACCCAAGCCTGGAAGCAGCACTTAATTCTGCAGCCACCTTACCCCCTAGGAGGTTTCAGCACATCAGTAAGGGTGTCTCTAGCCAGAAAATCCACCTTCCTCTTCCAAAATCTCTCTCCAGAATTCTGCTTTTCCAGGACAGGGTGTGAGAGACTTGGCTGACTTCTCCAGGAATAGATCTGGACTTTCCTAAGACAGTCCTCAGCCCTCTTCCCATGGCCCTGCTGCAGCCCCAGGCTTAGCACAGTGCCTTGCCACAATGCATGTTCACACAGGCAGGCAATACTTTGCTGGTGAATATGAGGAAGAATCTCAAGGACACAGAATGTCACTATTCAGCTCTTATCCATCAGCTCTTTCCCAATCATCTCTTCTCCTCAGCACAGTAAACAAGTTATACTTCCCCCTGTTCAGCCCAGAACACCAGAGAGGGCCTGAGCAGGGTGTTAGGCCCTCCAGCTGTGCCAGGCATCAGGGCTGTGCTAGGAGCCCAAACTAAACCACAGTAAGAAAAAATTTAATTAAAAAAAAATGCAAAGACTCTGAAAACAATGGAAGAAAAAAATCTAACAAAGGACATGATGTGTGGGCTTCTAGTGAGTTTATACATATTTCTCAACATGGGTTCTCAGAAAAAGTTAACTAGGTTCTAGAACATTCGTTCCCATCAGCACACAGTCTCACGGTCTCAGGGTCAGCACTGTTGGTGCCCAGGATCCACCTGGATGAAACCAGCTGCCTCTCTAGTCACCTCCAGCCACTGACCTCTTTCAAAGAAGAAATGACCACAGTTTAGGTTTTAAAGATCTTTTGCAGAAGATAATCTTATTTACATTGATACAGAATCATTTTACATAATTAAATCAGACACTAATCTTTAATTTTGTAAATTATAAAGAAAAAGGGGAACTACTGAGAAATGTTCTTCATTAACCTGTTTTACACTAGGGAGGACTGTGAACCACGTGGCAACTGCAGTGTGCTATAGCAGAGGCTGGGGACAGGGCATTTGGCCTGGCTGCAAGGTAGGGAACCTTCACTAGCTTGGACTATTTTCCTCTCTTGAACACACATTTACACAAGAGAAGACAATGATTCTTAGCACTGAATAATTTAAGCACACTTTGGAAAATACATGTTACAGTGTAGGTGAGAGCCAAGTCACTGGCTGGCATAGTTCCAAGTTTCCAAGGTGACTGATGTCTGCCCAGCATGGCCCAGTGTCTGCGGCTTGGAAGTGCAGGAGCTCCACGCACTCAGCTAGAATTACAGAATTCAAGTCGGGGCTGGCTGCCATCTTGTGGGGTGAAAGGGTCTGTCTGTCTTGACAAGTAGAACTTCCAGGGACCCTGTGGCCCTTTGGGTGCCTCTCCAGGGCACACACTTTCCAGCTGGTTGGTACCTTGGGAAATTAAAAACAAACTCCAAGAGGAGGCCTGGGCAGAGCCTGTTGGGGGATGATAGCTCTGGTGGGGTGTGCAGCCCTGTTCCTGATGAAGACGACCTGTCAGGAAGTCCTCATTCCAGGACCTGGAGGTTTGCTGAGAGGGAAATGAATCACTTCACACCCTGCTGCGGTTTAAGCCTTCATTTTTAAGCTGAAAGCATGACCTTTAATTCTTTAAGCTCTCCACATTTGATTCCAAACTAGAGTTTTAGTGCCAGAAGAAGTGTCCAGCTGTCTTACCCTGCCTGAGCCAGAAGAGGTGCATCACCTACTCATGAAACGGGAAGCTTCACCAGCCCTCAGGTGCTACATTCACTGCCCAGGGGCTGTCCACTGTGACCTTTCTGTGCAGAAATGTCTTATCATGTGGTGTTTCCTGGCAGTTGAGAGGGCTCTGTACTGCTGCTCTGGAATCCTCATGTCTCTGAGACCTGGCCACAAGGAAGGACTGTTGCTCCCAGCCTAGTTTCCAGTGGATCGTTTTCCTGAGCCAAGGAGATAAATAGTTACATTTCACATCCCAGTAGGATCACATCACTAATCCCTGTAGAGTGGCTGTGCCAAGACAGGGTCAAGAGCCCCAGTACCAAGGGCAAGCACAAACAACAGGATATCACAATGCAAGAGCAGTACCCTGCAGCTGCCCCCAGGTTTGCAGCGCTGCCCTGCCCAAGCAGGATGGAAAGCTACAAAGCCCAAGAGGGGTGGAGGGGATCTGAGTTCTAGGCCTGGCTCCGCCACAGTTTTCCCTTTGTGACCGTAGGCAAGCTGGTCCCACCACTGTGGAACTGAAAGCCCCTGAGAACTGGTTAAGAAGGGCTATGAGGCAGAAACGAGTTTGAACTGAGTTCAAACCTAAGAGGCTGGACATTATAGCCCAGTCCAGCCTGGTACTGACTGACTGCCCCACATTCTGCTTCTAAGGGCTGAAAGGATGCCAGATTTACCATGACTTGGACTGTACCTCTTCCAACTCCTGGGGTGGGGTAGGGTGGGTATGATGTTGATTAAAGTGAGAGAAAACAGGGATTAGTTCATATAGGGAAACAAAGGGAAGAAACCTCACGGCTTTTCCTACCTCAGCTGGGATATCAGGAGGTAAACATTTTCTTAAGTTTGGAAAGGAATCCCTCGTCCTCCCCAGCCTCACGCCTAGCCTTGCTTCCTGTGGAGCTATCCATGGTCCTGCCACCTGGGCACAAACAGCAGAAAGAACCAGGGTCAAGGGCATACACCTCCACCCATCATACACATTCCCGGCCCTACCGACCCATGCCAGACAACCAACCACCACCCTAAGAAGAGAAGGGGCCACTGCCAAGCTGGCAAAGGCCACTACACTTGTCAGACTGAAGCAATTGGACCACTCAGTCTTATTGTGTTCCAACTGCTTAAGTCATGGACCCAAACAGGAAACAAGAAACAGACGAACAATGACCAGCTGTTGCTAATCTGAACAAGAGTCACAAAAACAGAGCTATATGCTACATCCTTTCCAGGCACGCCACTTGGTTTACAAACATTGGCTCATCTAATCCTTAGTTTACCTTTCAGGTAAATTTCACAGATGGGGAAAAACAATGGGGACATAGAGAAGTTAGGTGATTTACTTGAGGTTCCAGAGCCAGCAAACAAGAGGTAGAAATGAGTTCAAACCCAAGCTCTTAACCACTGTGCTACTGGCTTTAAGAAAGTGCACACCAAGATAAGAGCCCATCTTTAGGCCCACTAACCAGATTCTGTATTATGCATGTATACACATGACATGCCCAAGATACTGAGCGAGGGACCAATGGCCATGCAGAATCTTCTGATACATGCACTTCATCTCAGGTATCACAACACCAGGTGGGACTGTTATTTCCCAAGCAACTTCCCCCACATCTGGCCCCTAACCCTGACTGCTCCAGGAAAAGGGTAGCTATAGACCCCAGGCCAAGACTAGAAGAACTCTGCTGCACAGATGCCTTAAAGATTTGCCAGTCACAGGTACTGAGGGCCAAAAAACATTTTCCCCCCAAGATAGTCTTGCTATGTCCTGTGTATACCGCCCCCCACCCCCGTACTTCGGATTGAACTCAGGACCTTGTGTTTTCGAGGTAGGCTTAGCACTACTGAGCTAAATCCCCAGCTTGCTATGTAGTTGTTAAGACTGGTCTTGAACTCACTGTGTAACCCAGGCTGGCCTCGAACTCATGGTGAACCTCCTGCCTCAGCCTCCCAAGTGCTGGGATCACAAGTTCACACCACTATGCCTGGCTGAGGGCCAAATTTTCCTGTGAGTTAAGAGTACAGACCTGTATCAGCATTTCAAACTGCAGCTAACTTTATTTCTGTTTGTTTTTGTTTGACAGGGTCTCACTAAATAGCCCAGGTTGGCCCTGAACTTGAAATCCTCCTGCCTCAGCCTCCCAAGTGCTGGGATTGCAGGCATGCACCACCATTCCCAGCTAGGGCATGTTTTTAATGTGCCAAGACACATACTTTACACAGTGCACAACACAGTGTAAACAGTCATGGTCCCCAAGAGCTCAGTCTGAGTTAGATGCGAGAGGCCCAAAGCTCTGGGTGACAGGTCTCTGAGCAGGACTAGGTAGGGTTCTCTTGGTACAGCACAGAGTGGGGGCACAGCTCACTCCTCTGATCTGGCACTCACAGAGCTCAGATGTGTCTCTCGCTGAGTAAGATCTAGACAATTACTAATGCAGCTGGGCCATGTCTAGGCTCCAGGGGTCCACAGACGAGGACCACGCCTTGCACAGTACCCTCCAGGCCCCATGAGCAGCACCCTCCCTGTTATTCACATCTTTTTTACAAAAAGGACTCTCCTAACACAAGTCTACAAACCACATGTTTCCATCACTCATGGGCCTCCTAAGACAAGGAGATCACGAGTTTTGAATTTTGTTATGTCCCCAGTAAACAGATGGCAAATCATGTAGTATGTGGGAGTGTGTCCCACCATCAATAATCTACTGACTTACTCTCCAGTGAAGGGAAATCGATTTGAATCAGTATGTGCTAAGCCCCAGTGCATCTGAGTTGTATTCAGCCTCCTTGTACCAGACTTTGTGTTGCATGATTCTCTTCTGAGTATAGCCAGTTGAACACAGATCTCAGTCAAGTTTCCGACCTCTCCCCAGCTTTCATCCAGTGTTCGCCGTTGAGTTGATGGGGACGTAATTATCCCTGGTAGAGCGTCTAATATACGCCAGACACCATGTCACAGGCTCTACCTATCTGAACTCATTTAATCACACAAACCCTAGGAGACAGTACTGCTATTATCTCAAATTTACAGATGGAGAAACTGAGGTTCAAAGAGATGAAGTAATTTGCCTAAAGCTTTATAGCTAATAACGATAGAACTGGAACATGAATCATCTCATATCAGAACCCAAACTCCTAACTAGTCCAAGTGGGGCACAAAAACACTCAGTGAAAAAAACAAAACAAAACACTCAGTGACTGTTGTCTCCTTCCTTCCTTAACTCTGCCGTTCCTGTCACCCAAAGGTCAACAAATGGTTTGTGCCCCATGGGCAGCGCTGTACTTGAGCCAGATGGTCAAAGTCTGGGAGACTTAAAACAAATACCTAGTTAGCTGGTTAGTGGTTCAGGGAGCACAAAAACAAAACAACAAAACCTACACATGCACCCTGAAATTTGTCTCACCTCGTACAACCAGAAAGTCTTACCTGTCCCTACTTTATCTTGTTTTTCTGTTGTTACAGAGGGGTAAACCCAGCACCTCATACACATAGTAGGCAGGCACTCCACCACTGGGCTAGATCCACGGCCCATTTTATTTTTTTAGACAAGATCTCACTAAGTTACCCAGGCTGCCCCCAAACTTGTGAGCCTCCCAAGTAGCTAGGATTATAGGCATGTGCCACCAAGTTCACCTTAGCTGTCTCTATTGTAAAAAGGATTAATGGGCTATGGCTCCTATGGAAATAGGTTTACTGTCAAGGAAGTCAAAGGACATGAAGAACTGTCTTTGAAATTCTGAACCAAATGCCAGTGGCCAGCTGTGAGCACTGCACACAGATAATCAGATCTATAAATACACTACCTTTTCTCTCTTCAAGCCCTGATTTCTGAGGACTAACTGGGGGAGGAGGGACCTCCCTGCAGGATGACTTTGGTACTCAGGACACAAATGTGTTGTTGTTTTTGTTTTTGTTGGCACTGGGGATCAAACTCGGGTTCTTGCACTTGTGCAGCAGGTGGTGAAACCACTGAGCTAAATCCCCAGCCCCAGGACACAAATGTGAATGCTTTACTTCCAGAGCTTCTTTAAGTAAGGCTGGTACACACTACACACTATCTGCACTTTAGAATAAACAGGAACTACTCTCCATGGAAGCCACTCCAGCTGGAAGGCACCATACAGCACTCCTACTCTGTCTTCAGCCAGTGACCATAGCAAAAGGAGAGCAGCTCAAGCACCTGAGATACAAAGAGAGGTGGAGGAGTACTCTGAAGATCCAAGACTTCCTGACAGACTAGGCATAGTCTTTTTTTTTTTTTGGTACTGGGTATCGAACTCGGGACCTTGTGCTTTCGTAGCAGGCCTCGGAACCACTGAGCTAAATCCCCAGCCCAAGGCATAGTCTTCTAGAGAAGGGATTTTGTGTCCATCTCTCCAGAGCACTTCTCAGCCCGTGGTTAGGAAAACAAATCCAAATAAACACAGCTAGTGTTACTGGGAGGCAGTCACTGGGTAAGCCACCAGGGATAAGAAGAAGAGACATTCTAGTTTACTAAGGCAGGGATTCCAGGGCAGAGCTGCTGGGCAGGTGTATGTAATGTGATATCAAGGGAAGAAAAACCAGATGACATCCATTCCACAAATCTGTATCACTTTTAGATTCCACATGTTTTTTTCCACTGAAACACAACTCCTGGTGTCAGGAGACAGATCTAACACTTATTTAGAGGGAAAGGTTCTTTAGTGCTTATGTTGCCTGGTTATACTATATGCTTGAAGGAGGCAAGGGCTGTATCAGCATGGAGAAAATGCTAAATAAACACTTGTGGGCAGGAACACAGGCCAACAGGACCTGGATATGCTTTCTGAGGAACGGACATCCCAGAGTGGAGGTGCAGCCTTTGCTCAGACACAAGCTATACAGCAGGATCAGGGTGCCTCCCACTCTCTTTATGTGTGGTCTCCCTCATCTTCCTCTTGCCTTTGCCTTGTATAAGGAGGATGTCCACACTGCATCTTCAGGCAAGTTGGAGAAGACAAATGGAGAGTATGATCCCCAATCACTTTGTATTGTGTTGCACAATGTTTCTACACTTACAGCTAAATGTGTATGTTTGTGTGTGACAGATCACAAGAATATGGATCCACAAAGAAAAAGAATAAGCCTCACTGTTATCTCTAACTCAAAATGTCACATAGTAACCACAAATTGCTCCCATATCCCTGAGTCTTTTTGTTAGAAGATGTATCTACCTGTGGGGTCCGGCAACCACTCAGAGTTCCCAAGCACCCTAGACAGTCCTTCTGGTTCACAGGCTGAAAGAGACTCAGCTATTAACTAAGGTTTTCAGCAGCTACATCAGAAAACAAAAATAAATAAACAACGGTTGCTGGGTGTGATGGTGCATGCCTTTAATCAAGCACTTGAGAGGCTGAGGCAGAAGGATACCTATGAGTTTCCAGCCAGCCTACACAGTGAGTTCAAAGCCAGCTTGAACCATACACAGAGAGACTGTTTCAAAACAAAAACAGCAACAAAAAAGAGATACTAAACTCATCAAAAATTTTAGACTGGGGCCTGGGAATACAAATCAGTGGCAGAGCACACACTTAGCATGAGCAAGGCAAGGCCCTGGATTCAATCCACCCACCAAAACAAACCCAAAACCTTCCTGTTATGAAAACAAATCTTCAAGGATATTCAGGAACATATGTGTACCTGTGAGAGACTCACCAGTCTCTAATGATGCTGTAACTCACATGTTGGTGGTCGTTTTTGTAGTGGTGGGGATTGAAACCAGGGCCTCAACATACAAGCACTCTACCACTGAGCCACATCTGCAGCTCTTAAAGGCTACTACAAAATAACATGATAAAGACGTGTTATGCACATGTACCAACTCCACATGCTGAATGTTACCATTATGTACTTCAAACTCATGGAGTAATAAAATTTAAAATAAATCAAACTTGGGCCGGGGATTTAGCTCAGTGGCACTGCACCTGTCTCGCAAATGCAAGGTCCTGAGTTCCAGCTCTGGCACCAAAAAAACAAACTTTAAAAAAGTGACAGAAAAAAAAAAAATGACAGGAGGACATGAGGATGTGGGATATGGCTCAATGGTTAAGAGTACTTTCTAGTGTGTGTGAGGCCTTGGGTTTAAGCCTCAGCACCACAGGGAGCCAAAAAATGAGTATGCCTTTACCTCATGAACAGTAGTTCATGGAATGCAAATTGCATCCAATAAAACTCTTAGTTGGGGCTGGGGATTTAGCTCAGTGTTTCCGTTGTCTGCCTTGCAAGTGCAAGGTCCCCAGTATCGATCTCTGGTACCAAAAAAAACCAACCTCTTAGTTGTATGGGCTGGGGACTCAGGGGCAATGAGATTCCTTCACAAGTGCATAAGCCCTGGATTTGACCCCCTGCATCACAAAAGGAGGAGGAAGCAAGGTAGAGAAGGAAGGAGAGGGCAGAGGAGGAGTAGGAGAGGAGGGAGAAGGAGTGGAGAAAGAGGAAAGAGAGGGGAGGAGAATGGGGGAGGAGGGAGGAGGGAGGGAATGAGGGGGAGGGCAGGGGGAGAAGAAAATTTAGTTGGGTACAGTGACACATGCCTATAATCCCAACTATTTAGGAGGCTGAGACAGAAGGATCACAAGTTCAAAGCCAGCTTGGGCAATGTAGCGAGCCTGTCTCAAAATAAACAAATAAACAAACTTTAATTAATTAAATTAAAATAAATAAGAGCTGGGGATGTAGCTCAATGACAGTGTTTGTGTAGCATGTGCATGGGTTTGATTTTCAGTACCGCAATAATAAATACAAAATAAAAGCAAAAATAAAAACCCAAGTGTGGTGGCACTCCAGAGGCTGAGGCCGGAGGATCGTGAGATCAAGGCTACTCTGGGCTACATAGCAAGAACTGTCTCCAAACCAAACCATTCTAGTTGTGCTCAATTCTTGAAATAAGAAATTCAGGGTGAATATACTTAAATAAATAAAACCTGCTGTTAGTGAAGTTACTCAAAAGTCCACTGTAATATTTTATATGCAGTGTAATATTTTCATGTGGATTGTAAAAGTAACCTTTTTCACAGCGGCACACTGACAATATATTTTTCAAAGCAAACCCAGGAAGATTATTCCCCCCATACTGGGGATCCAATCTGGGGGCACTCTACCACTCAGCTGCATCCTCAGTCCTTTCTGAGACAGAGTCTCACTAAGTTGTCCAGGCTGGCCTGAAACTCGCAATCCTACTTTAGCCTCCCATGTAGGTGGGATTACAGATTACAGGAGTATACCACATATACCACATACAGCCAAATCTAAGAGTAAATGCCATTTAGGAAGAAATCTAATTTGGTATACCTATTTTACTTTATTAGCAATTTTTCAGATATGCATCCAATACATATATTAAGGTTATGTTGTATTTAATAAAACTATGCCATGAAGAATTTCAGAAGAGTTTACAAAGTTTCTGGCACATAGAAGGCTCCTAATATATCTGGCTGAATGAAAGAAACTCATCACCAGGACAAGGAACCCTCCCCGCAAAATTACAAAGGTTCCAAGGATGCTGACTATAATAATCAACTCTCAGATATCAGAGAGGGTTCGAAACAACTGGGCTGGGCAGGGTGGCACACATCTGTAATCCCATCACTTATGGAGGCTAAGCCAGGAGGATGGCAAGTTTGAGTCCTGGCTGGCAACTTAGTGAGACCCTCTCAGAATAAAAAAACAAAAATGGGGCCGGGGATTTAGCTCAGTGGTTCTGGTGCCTGCCTCACAAGCTGAGGACCCGAGTTTGATCCCCAGTACCAAAAAAAAAAAAAAACAACCAAAAATGGGGGCCGGGATTTAGCTCAGTGGTTCTGGTGCCTGCCTCACAAGCTGAGGACCCGAGTTTGATCCCCAGTACCAAAAAAAAAAAAAAACAACCAAAAATGGGGGCCGGGATTTAGCTCAGTGGTTCTGGAGCCTGCCTCACAAGCGCAAGGTCCCGAGTTCGATCTCCAGTACCAAAAAATAAAAATAAATAAAAAACCAAAAATGGTGGATGATGTAGCTCCGTGGTAGAGTGCTCCTGGGTTTGATCCCCAGTACAAAAAAAGTTTTTTAAAGAATCTGAGGGGCCACTAATACCCAACATTCTAAGGTGGTGAAACATCTATCCTTTGAGTTTTTTAGTGGACAGGAAGGGAAAACAGCTGTGTAAACAAATATCACATGTCACACAACTGCAGGAACACATGGCTTTCAGGAAAGACAAGCTAGAAGTAGACAATCAGTACTGTAGAATAACTAGTCTCACTTCCTTATTAGTTCTGAAAGTATTACTTAGAAAAGCCAGTGTGATAGTACACGCTTGTAATTCTAGCACTCTGGAGGCTGAGGCAAGAGGATCCCAAGTTCAACCAGAACTTGTGCAAATTAGCTACTTAGCAAGACCCAGTCAGAAGAAGAAGAAGAAAATGCTGGGCATGGTGTCATATGCCTGTAATCCCAGCACTCAGGAGGCTGAGGGAGGAGGACTGCCCTAAGTTTAAGGGCAGCCTTGGCTACATAGTGAGTTCAAGACCAGCCTGAACTACAGAGTGAGATCCTTTCTCAAAAAAACCAAAAAAAGAAAAAAGAGAAAGATGAAAGACAGAGAAGGAGGAAGAGAAAGAGGAAGAAGAGGAGAAAGAGGAGAAGGAGGAATAATAAAAAGAACAAAAGAGGAAAGTGTATGCTCCCAACAATTAAAATAAGAGCCATTCAGTGATTGGTTGGGGTACAGACAGGATTTGTTGGATTCAGAGTCCAGAGTGCTCACCATTACGCCATGAAACCATGTGGATAACAGGATTTGTAATGGGTGCTTTTTCAGAGGATCTCTGACCCCTTGTCCAGAACAAATTTCAATGAAATTCCACCAAAACTGGTTGCAGCTAGGACTCCCCTCCTTCCTCTGCCTCTGCCTCTACCTCCAGAACTCTAAGACCAAAGTCTCCATTTCACTGGAAAACCTGCTCCCAGCTTTGAACACTTGCTGTGAATTACCATACACTATTCTAAGGCTATTCCAGTTCTAAGAACTTGATCTATGAGCCTGACAAAATGACTTAAGGAGTAAGAAAGATGCAGTCTGAGACAGTGACCTCCTGGGCAGAGCCTGTCCTGACCTATGCAAGGTCCCAATTAAGAGGCTCCCATTTCCCACAGATGAGGGACTGAGCCGGACATGGTGGCACAAGCAGGTATTCCCAGCACTTGGGAGGCTGAGGCAGGAGCATCACCATGAGTTTGAGGCCACCCTGAGCAACATAGTGAGCTCAAGGCAAGCCTGCATTACAAAGCAAGACTCTGTCTCAAAAAAAAAAAAAAAGAGGGACTGCACCTGCAGATGCCATGCCCAAAGCTTCAGCCACCAGGTATGCTGACATCAAGTCACCAATATCCAACCACACTCCTCCAACAAACCATAGCACATGAGCTCAGGTAAATGACATTTATTCACTGCAGGATACCTTCAAAGTTAATCTGGTCTAAAAGGCAGACTGAGTCCTCTGATAGGGTTGTTATGCTGTGATTGCTGTTTATCAGACATTCTGCAATCCTGGCCAAGGGTTCAGGCCCAAGAATGCACAAATTTCTCCAGTTCATCTTTTCCTTAAGTTGTTACAAGAAACTCTCATGGTGGGGAAGTGCCCAAGGTCACGAGGCAAGTGGCAGAACCAAGGCTAGAACTCAGAACACCAGCTCTGAGATACAGAGCTGCCTGGCAGGAATCACCCCAGCACTTTCCTCAGCACACAGATGCATGCAGAGAAGGGAAAAAAGCTTTCACTGGGGGCCCCTGCTCTACACCAGCTGTTCCTGCCCCCAGGACCACTCCTTCAACAGTACTTTTTGGGGCTTCATCAAGACCCCCAAGGAGGATCCCCAACACACTGTTCCAAACTGTCTACCTTCCAAGAAACGTGTAGGCCCCATTGTGCAGCCATGATACCTCCAAACCCCTTACCTGTGCTTGTATGGGTGACACCATTCACTGTTCCCTCCACATCAGTCTCATCCTCAGCGTAGCTCAGGATCAGGTTCTGTTGCCGGCTTGTTAGTCTCCTGTGGACCCAGCACAGTTAGTGGCCAAGCACTTCCTATGGGCAGCTCTTCCACAGACAAGCATGCTGTAGCCAAGAACTTCAGTATGTGGAAAAGTGGGACCCCAACGAGGGAGAGGTATACACTACATTAATAACTTGAGGTCACCCCCTCAAACTCCTGTAAAGAAGACCTCCCACCATGGCACAGTGGTGCAAACTGGTAATCCCAGTACTCTGGGAGACTGAGGCAGGAGGATCACAATTTGGACCTCAGCCTAGGCAGGCAACACAGTGACACAGACTTTTTATGTCTCAAAATAAAAAACAAAAAGGGCTGGGAATGTAGCTCAGTGTGAAGGACCTAGGTTCAATCCTCAGTACTGGGGGGAAAAATAGAGAAAAGCAAGCTTCTAAAACACCCAAGTTGTTTAAACAACCATTACTATGCTGTGTGCTAGATACAATTTGTAGGTGATGAAGGTGGGGAGAGAGGGTATCACAAATGCCTGTGAAGCAGGTAAAAAATTATCTCACTGGCCGGGTATTTAACTCAGTGGTTCCGTCGCCTGCCTCGCAAGCGCAAGGTCCTGAGTTCGATCCCCGGTACTGAAAAAAAAAAAAAAAAAAAATCTAATCTCACAAAAAGAACAAGTGCCAGAAACTGGCCTCCAAAGAGGAGCTGGATACACCCTGACAGGGTGCCCACAGCATTCTGCCTACAAGACAGCAAGAACAAGCCAGGTGTGGTAGCACATGCCTATAATCCCAGGACTCAGGACACTGAGGCAGGAGGATCGCCACAAGTTCGAGGCCAGCCTGGGCTACACAGTGAGTTCAAGGCCAGCCTGAACTATATAGTAAAGCCTGGTCTCAAAATAAAAAAAGACAGCAAGAGCTCAGCATCTCTGATTTATCTGTGAAGTGGACAAGGCTGGGACACATCCAACTTCGTGAGAGAAGGCAGCTGCCCAAGCCAAGAGCTCACAGGCACCTTAAGTGCTGGGTGCAGGTCTGGCAGATGAAAGACTCAGTGGGTACTCACTTGGTAGATGAGTGTGTGCAGGGTCTGGTGCTTTCGCAGAACTTACGTTGGAACTCTGATCTTGACATGAATGTAGTGGTCGCCATAGCCATAGCTGTTAATCCGGGGGATTCCTTTCCCAGTCAAGCGAATCGTCTGGTCTGTCTGCATCCTAGGGGGGATCTATAGAGAAAAGAAAGTGGTAATGTTCCCTGTTCCTCACTGTCGCAAAGTAAACCTTTTCACTATGCAGAGAGAATCTTTTTTTCCTTTATTTTTTTTGGCAGGACTGAGGATTGAACCTAGGGTTGCACATGCTAGGCAAGTGCTTCACCACTAAGCTACATCTCCAGCCCCACAAAGACAATCTTGAAAGAACTCCTTAAAAAGGACTTATACGCAGGTATCTGCAGCAAGCCTGACAGCAACCACATGGAAACTGGCCGAGCTGCAATCTGCCCAGAGCAGAAACTATGACAGGGTCTTGAGGTTAAGAGTTTAGTGCCATAGGCCTAGAAAGTGAGGGGAGAACATATGAGAGCTGCTGAGCATGGTGGCACATGCTTGTAATTCCAGCACTTGGGAGGCTGAGGCAGAAAGATCACTATGAGTTCAAGCTGGGCTACATCATAGTGAGTTCAAGGGTAGCCTGAACTATATGGTGAGACCCTGTCTCCAAAAAAACAAAAACAAAAACAAACAAACAAACAACATCAAAACCAGAGACAGACCTAGGAGCACAGGCAGGACAATGTATACACTGGGTCCACCTCCTGGGAAGAGGCCACCCCAAAGTCCCTTGCACACAGAAGGTGTAGAAGGCCCTGAGGCAAACACAAAACAGTAGTAGACCTGGACATGGGAATGAGAGGTATGGGTGGACACAGGAGGATGTCCATTGTGGCTGCTACTAAAATCTGAGGTGGCTAAAGGGAGGAGATACAGCCTTAGGGGCATCTGCTCTCATAGCCAGACCAGCACAGAGCACCTACTACAATAGTGCACCTTGTGTCACGTGTGGACCCAGTCCTCAGGCCTGCTGACCTGTAGAGGAGGGGATGGCAAAGAACTACTCTCCATACTGATCATACAGCAAGTCCTGAGCTGTGATTCTCACCCAAGAACAGCCTAAACCTCCCAGTGCCTGCCCTCAAGCCTCTTCTCCCCTCGGCATTCCTGACATACTTGATGTTCACAGATTTCAGACCATGTCATCCATTCTCCATTTCAGAGAAAAGAGCAACAAAGTACCAGAGAGCCAAATATGTCCCATGTCCTCTTACCGTCACATTGATTGTCTCATACAGGCCCTGAGCTCTGGCTGACCCCCCAAGAAGAGCCTGAGCTATAGAAATAAATAGGTCGGAGTGGATGTCCGCGCCGTCCCTCCGGAACACGGGGCTTTTCTGCACCTAAGGCCAAATAAACACAAGACGAGCATGACCACCAAAGAAGCCCTGGCTAAGGCTGAACATGAGCTGCACGTCTCATGAGGCCCAAGGTCAGAACTTCACATGCTTTACCACCTTCAGTGTTTTTTTTTTTTGTGGTAACAGGGATTGAACTCGGGTCCTTGCGCTTGCGCAGCAGGTGGCGAAACCACTGAGCTAAATCCCCGGCCCTGACCTTCAATGCTTAAAGCACAGCATTGAAAGATGCACTCGCCAATGGGAGACAGCACCCCACAGCTCAAGGGAGCCACAGACTCTACAACCACACCCTCAATGAAACAAGGTCTAGGTTTCTTCAGATTGCACCACATCATTCAGTTGAAAAAGGAACTGGGAGTAATGGCATATGCCTGTATCCCAGTAGTCAGGAGGCTGAGGCAAGAGGATTGTAAGGCCAGCCTGGGCTACATGGTTAGTTCAAGGTCAACCTGAACCACATAGCAAGACCCTGTCTCAAAAAACAAAAAACAAATTGTAAAGGAAAATAAGAATAAAAACTGGCCATTTGAACATTATTTTTATTTATTTTAAATTTAATTTTTTCGTCACCGGGGATCGAACTTAGGACCTTCTGCTTGCAAGGCAGGCGTGGTGCCACTGAGTTAAATCCCCGGCCCTGAACACTATTTTAAAATTTTACTTTATTAGAAAGAATGGAGAAACAGATTAATATATTTTCTTTTTTTTTGGTACCGGGGATCGAACTCAGGTCCTTGCACTTGCTCAGCAGGAGATGAAACCACTGAGCTAAATCCCCGGCCCCAGACTGATATATTTTCAAAAGTGAAAATGATTTTTCTTGCAGATGGTTATTCAATACAAAGTACCCTCAAAACTGACTCAGAGAGCCAGGCGAGGGGTGGTGCACACCTGTAATACCAGCACTCAGGAGGCTGAAGCAGGAGGATCACCGTGAGTTCAAGGCCAGCCTGGACTACATAGTGAGACCCTGTCTCAAAAATAACAAAACCCAAAAAGAAACAAAGCTGACTGGCAACACTGGAATTTATTTCATTTTATAAATATATTTTCTGTGTATTTGTATATTCTCTGCCCTCAATGTTTCTCTCTATCTTTTCTCTATTATTAGATGGGAAGAGAAGCTGAATTTTCTAACAAACTTTTCTAACAGACTGGCTTCCAGTCTTCTGCCTTCATCTTTCTTTTTTTGTGATACACGAGACTGAACCCAAGACCGTACATATGTTAGGCAATTGCTCTACTGCTAAGCTACAACCCCAGCCTCTGCCCTCATCTTTAATCTCTGTCTAGATTTACCTTTCACATTATTTTTCTTTGTTTTCTGTTATTGGTTTGGTTTGTTTTTTGAAGTACTGGGAATTGAACCTAGCCCTTGCACATTTTGTTTTTTGAGATGGTCTTACTAAACAGTATATGCTTGCAATTTGGTTGTAACCAGAATCCTTGAACGAGTTCTGCAACCAAAATCGTGGAAGGAACTAAGTTCGTGAACCAAGGCACCACTGTATTTGTCCAGGGTGGACCTAAACTCCTCAGTTCAAGCTATCCTCCTGCCTCAGTCTTGGTAGCTGGAATTACAGGCACTGGGACACTAGGCCCACCTTTTGCCTTTATTTAAATTATAAAATATTTCACATCATAGAAAAAATTTGAAACTAAAGAGCAAACACAGTGTAGCCACATGTAGTTTAGGGAATAAAATAGCACAAATAGGCCCTGGGATTTAGCTCAGTGGCTCCGCCACCTGCTGCGCAAGCCCCAGGTCACGAGTTCGATCGCCGGTACCAAAAAATAAAAATAAAAAATAGCACAAATGTGACCTCCTTGCTGCTCCTCAGTTAACTACTACCCTGAATTTGGTATTTATCATTTCTACAAGCATGACTTTACTTTTGTAACAAAAAATCCATCTCATGTGCTTGAAAATATGTAGATGGTGTCCTGCCCTCTATAACCTCTCGGGACCTGCTTTCTTTGGTGTATCATTAATAACTGAGGCATCTCATGTTCACACATATGGCTCTGGTTCTTCTTTTTGGGGGGGTTGTTTGTTGTTCTGGTTTTATGAGACAGTCTATGTAATTCAGGCTGGCCTTGAACTCACAGCAATACTCATGCCTTAGCCTCCCCAGAGGCATGGTCACCTCGCCTGACCAGGTTCTTTCTTTTTTTTTGGTTCCAGGGATCAAACTCAGGTCCTTGTGGTTGCGCAGCAGGTGGCATAAACCACTGAGCTAAATCCCCGCCCCCGTCTGGGGCTCTTGATGGCTGCCTGAGTGCCCTCACAACACGGCACTGGCTTCCCCAGCGTGGCACCATGAGATGGATTTTTTTGTTACAAAAGTAAAGTCATGCTTGTAGAAATGATAAATACCAAATTCAGGGTAGTAGTTAACTGAGGAGCAGCAAGGAGATCACATTTGTGCTACTTTTTTTTTTTTTGGTACCGGGGATCAAACTTGTGACCTGGGGCTTGTGCAGCAGGCGGCGGAGCCACTGAGCTAAATCCCAGGCCCTATTTCAAAATAAAAAAGTAAAAATAAAAAAGGGACATGCACCCACAATGCTCCTACCTCATACCAACCAGCAGCCTCAAAAGCACCCACTCCAGGAGAGCAAGGGCTTGACAGAAGCTGTGGAGGACAGGTACATACCCTGAATGTGATGAAAATTTCTCGTTTCCCCACAGGCATCCTCACAGTCTGGCCATCCTCGACGCCTAGAAGAACCAAAGTTCCAAAGAAAACAGTTATAGTGGGACCTCCCACAGCACTTTCTACCCAAGACCCACTAACCAGCCACAGGCTTCCTTACTCATTCCTGTTAATGCTGGCCTCAGTGCCTGAAGAGAGGGGACAAAGGAGATGAAAACAGGGGACAGGGACTGCTCTCTCACCATGCAGGAGCAATAACAATGCATTTTAAGGATGACTGGAGCAAAGATAGATTCTATTTCCTTCTCCAGCCCAGGCCTCTAGAGACTCAACCTCAGCTTCTGCCAATAGCCACACCTCATAGGAAATGGTGGCCTCAGTCCTCTCCAGTCACTGGGAACCTGGGAGCCCACCTGCAGGCACAGGGATCATCACTCGCTTCTTCTGCTTGGCTTGTCCTGTTCCTCTGCAGATCACACATGGATTTGTGATAGTAGAGCCACGGCCACCACATCTTCGACACGTGGAACGCATCACAAAAGGACCTGTATTAATGGTTTCCTGATGAAAAAGAGAAGAAAAATGTAAATATGTAGGTAAACTTACACATGAAGAAAATGTTTCATTAAAGGCTTGTGTCTGGTATACATGTGCCTAAAAGCCAACAGGAGCTGGGGCTCACACTATTAGAACACATCTACTTCTCACCTCCAGATCACTGCACTACTGACAGGAGAAAAAACATGAGACACTACCTGAAAACCTCAAGAGCTGAGTAGTATCTTTAAAAAGATGATTCCCGGGGCTGGGGATTTAGCTCAGTGGTTCCAGCGCCTGCCTCACAAATGCAAGGATCCGAGTTTGATCCCCGGTACCAAAAAAAAAAAAAAAAAGATGATTCCCTATGGGGCAGGGATTTAGCTCCGTTCAATTCCCAGTACTGCAAAAAAAAAAGGGCCGGGGATTCAGCTCAGTGGCACCACACCTGCCTCAAAAGTGCAAGGTCCTGAGTTCAATTCCTGGTACCACAAAAAAAACCAAAGAGATGATTCGCTCACTAGTTACAAAAGTGACAGCTGGGAAAACGTAGGCAAGTGAAGAAAGTGACAGGTGGATGCAATCCCTCTTCTTCCCAGCCAGAGCTGTCATGCTGGTCACTGAACCTGTGACTCCAAGGCCGAAGTCCGTGTCCTGGTTCCTAACACCCAAAGGTCCTAATTCTGCTCCTCCTGACTAATTAAGGGTAACACATGTCACTGTTGTTGAAAATGGTTTGGGGGAGTCTTCAGCGGGAACTGCTCTGCTGAAAACAGATGTGAAAAACAAGAAACTCACCATGGGGCCAAATACACAGGTTTTGAATTCAAGCTGACAGTGTAAACACACACACCCTCTCAATCATGCTCCTCCACAAACAACTTCTCTCTTATTTCCCCCATCAAACCTCCCCTTACCCCATCATTCAGGAGACATCCCAGCCTCTCCCAAAGCTGGTGGATCCTCATGATATGGACCACCTCCATCAACCCTCTCTTGATATATAAAACTGCTTATCCATTTTTTTTTTTTTTTGGTACCGGGAATCCAACTTGGGTCCTTGTGCTTGCGCAGCAGGAGGTGAAGCCACTGAGCTAAATCCCCAGCCCTAAAACTGGTTATCTTTTTATTTAACTTTGCAGATGCATGCTTGATGTGGAAGATCAAAGAATATAGAAATAGATAAAGTGTTATTCATTTCTTCTTCACCCTGACTACATGGCAACTAACCCTTTTTGTTTGTTTTGGTGCTGGGGATTGAACCTAGGGGCTCACACATTTGCTACCACTGAGCTCCATTCCAGCACAATCCTTTTTTTCTTTCTTTGCGTGTGTGTGCTGTACTGAGGCCTGAACCCAGGGTCTTTACATTGAGCTACACCCGCAGCGTTCTTTTTTTTTCTTTTTCTTTTTTTGGTACCAGGGATTGAAATCAGGACCTTGTGCTTGCAAGGCAGGCGGCGGAACCGCCCCCAGCATTCTTTTTAACCTTTTATTTTGTTAGGATCTCACTTATTCACCAAATTGCTCAGGCTGAGCTCAAATTTGTGATCCTCCTTCCCAGCCTCCCAGGGTGCTGGGATTATAGGCATGCACCACCATGCCCAGCTTGGAGTATTCTTTCTACAACTGTCTCTCCATAAATTAAAAAATTTGTAGAGAATTTATATTATGCATGTCATTCTGAAATTTTATTTTATTCTGTCTTTCTGTGTGTCCCTCCCTAACCCTCAGTGCTGAGAATTGAACTGAGGACTTTGCATATGCTAAGCACACACTCTACCACTAAGCTGCATCCCTATCACTGAGAATGCGAAGTAATGAACTCCTGTAAGCTGGAATATTTGTTACATGGTATGAATTAACAATTCTGAAGCTCTTTTAGTGTGTTATCAGATTGAGGAAATGAGTAAATACATCAAGGATAATCAGAGCCAGATTTTCCTTGTTAGAAGAAAATTATAAATGTGCAACCATTAGGTTGAACTCAAGGTTTGTGATAGATATATACATACGTATGTATGTATGTATGTATGTATGTGAATACACATTTGTAAAGAGATGTAGATATGTGCATGCATATCTATATACGTGCACACACATTTTTTTTCCTGGCTCAGTCTGCTGAAGGGATTACTAGGCGTGATGCATCAGAAGCAATGAGCACACCAGAACTCAGATCTTGGTTTCATGTTCCATTAGATACTAGCAGGAACCAGGACACTGTGGTAATGGGTAATTCCAGGACTAGAGCAGATCAAGTATAAAAAAGTTTAGCCTAGAACACCTTGTTGAGATGGAAAGTAAGGGATTGCTGAAAGCATGACTGGACCATTTTAAAAGGACACAGGCTGAGTGTGGTGTGCACACCTATACTCCCAGCACTTGGGAGGGTGAGGCAAAAGGATTGCCACAAGTTTGAGGGCGGCCTGGACTACATAACAAGACCCTGTCTCAAAAAATCAATCAGAAAGAATGGCTGCTATCATGAAATCAACCACTAACAAATGTTGGTGGGGCTGGTGGGGAAAGAGGAACCCTGCTCCACTGCTGGTGGGAGTGTAGACTGGTGCAACCACTGTGGAAATCAGTATGGAGATATCTCAAAGAACTAGGACTGGAAGTCCCATTTGACCCCGCTATTGCCCTGCTGGGTATCTTCCCCAAAGAATTAAAAGAATCATACCACAGTGATATATGTGTGCCATGTTCATAGCAGCACAGTTTTGTAATAGCTAAAACTTGGAAGCAGCCCAGTTGCCCATCAACTGGAGACTGGATAAAGAAAATGTGTGCTTTGTTTATTTTTTTAATAAAATGGAGTACTATTCAGCCATAAAAAATGAGAAATTAGAGACATAGCTAAATGGATCCACATTGAGATGATACTCTTAAGTGAAATAAATAGGACACACATGTGTAAATACTGAATAGTTTCTCTAGTGTGAGAAACTGAAAGTGTAAATAAGGACTAAAAGGTGTAACAGATAATGTGAAATAGAAGAAAGGGGGCAAAGGGGAGGGGGAAGTTGGAGGGGTAGGAGAAAGGAAAGAAGGGGATGAAATTAATATGAGAAAATGAAAAAATGGAAACAAAGTCTTTGTAAATAGGGAGCGATGGAGGAGTTGAAGGGGGGGACAGGGGAATGGGGAAAAAGTAGGAACCAAGAAAGACTATATGAAGGTCCAAATTTCCAATGATGAATGTCATTATATTGTATACCTAAAATGTACCAATAAAATTAATTTTTCAAAAAATAAATAAAAGTATTGCTTAAAATGAAAAAAATAATCAATCAAGGGCCAGGGATTCAGCTCAGTGGTTCCACTGCCTGCATTGAAAGAGCAAGGTCCCAAGTTCGATCCCAAGTACCAAAAAAAAAAAAAAAACAATCAATCGATTGCACACAGAAATCAACTACAAAAAATTTCCACAGGCCAATCTGGGCCCCAAAAGACTTCCTGAGAGACAATTTGAACATTAAACTATGCAGATTGTAACACAGCGAATAAAATAAGAATCCCTACATTCATACTGATATAAACTAATAAACGGAAAAGACAAGTCTTCCTTTAAGTAGAATGCCAAATGCCAGCCATTATGGCGCACACCTGTAATCCCAGCATTCAAGAGGGTGAGGCAGGAGGATTTCCGTGAGTTCAAGGCTAGTCTGCATTACATAATGATTTTAAGGCCAACCTGAAATACATAGTGAGACCATGTCTCAAAAAACCCCCAAATAAATAAGTAAAATAAAATAATTTAAAAATAAAAATAAATAGAATCCCAATAACACAGACAGGATACTGGAATCAGAAAATCACCATTTTGCAATCATCATGGAAATAAGTGATTTAAGTGAGAAGGATCAACAGATGCAAAAACTAGCGGATAAAAGTCTGAGGAATAGGATATTTATACAGTCTCAAGATATCTCACAATTTATTAATTTCAAGGAAAAAATATAACTTTATAGTAAAGAAGCCTGAAAACTAGTTTAACAAATAAAAATGATCATTGTAATGGTGTCAATAATGGGACAAACTGACATCTTGTGGCTCCTCATATGTTCCACTGAAAAGAACACATCTCCTCTGTGGTAATGTTTTGTATTTTTTTTGTTTTTCTCTGTGTGATGTTTTTGCCAAAATAATCTGAATCTTTTTTTTTTTTTACTGAAATTCTTTTACTGGTACATTTTAGGTATAATAATCTGAATCTTATGATCACAAATCAAGGAAGATTCTATTAAATGCCCTGCAATCTTCAAAAGTGTCAAGGTCATAAAAGAAAAAAGACTGAGAGCGAGCTGACGCACCCGGGCCGTGGCGTTGGGAACTATGGTGCTTCCGAACACCCTTATCACCGGTACACCAGGAGTTGGAAAAACCACACTAGGCAAAGAACTTGCATCCAGATCAAGACTAACGTACATTAATGTGGGTGATGTAGCTTGAGAAGGGGCATTATATAATAGCTACGATGAAGAGTATGAGTGTCCCATTTTAGATGAAGAAAAAGTAGTTGATGAGTTAGAGAACCAAATGGCAGAAGGTGGAGTTATTGTTGACTACCATGGTTGTGATTTCTTTCCTGAATGATGGTTTCATGCAGTTTTTGTGTTGAGAACAGATAACAGTATATTGTACAGGGCCGGGGATTTAGCTCAGTGGTTCTGGTGCCTGCCTCCCAAGCGCAAGGTCCCAAGTTCGATCCCCGGTACCAAAAAACAAAACAAAACAAAACAAAAAACAGTATACTGTACAAAAGACTTGAAACAAGGGGTTATAATGAGAAGAAACTAGGAGACAATATCGAGTGTGAGATTTTTCAAGTTCTTTATGAAGAGGCTATGGTATCATACAAGGAAGATATTGTGCACCAGCTGCCCAGCAATACGCCTGAAGAGCTAGAGGACAACATAAACCAGATCTAGGGGCCGGGGATTTAGCTCAGTGGTTTCACCACCTGCTGCGCAAGCGCAATGACCCGAGTTCGATCTCCGGTACCAAAAAAAAAAACATAAACCAGATCTTGAGATGGATTGAGCAGTGGGTCAAAGGTCACAACTCATGACTGGTCACTTGGTGGTGCCTCTTTGCCCACCTTGTAGACGCGGCCTCCAAGTATCTGTAAAAACCAAAACTATGTGGAAGGCCCAGCAGGTATTTTTATGCCTGGGTTTCTTTTTCTCCATGAGAAAGTTAAACAATCACAAATATAATGAATACAATTATTATTAAGCATTTAAAATACGCATCAGTTGCTAAACAACAAATCTGATCAAATGGGAAAAAAAAGAAAAAGAAAAAGAAAAGAAAAAAGACTGAGAAATGGTTCCAGATTAAAAGAGACTAGCTGGGCATGGCAGCACACTTCTATAACTCCAGTACACTGGGAGGCTAAGGCAGGTGGATCACAAGTTACAGTCCAGTCTGGGCAACTTAGTGAAACCCTATCTCAAAAGAAAACATAAAAAAGGGCTGAGAATGTAGCTTAGTGTAAAGTCTCTGAGTTTAATCCAATAATACATACACTTACATATACACGTATGTGCACACAAAAAAGAAAGATATGACAGCCAAACTCTACACATGACTCTAGATTGAGTTCTGGACCAGGAAAAACAAAATATAAAGATAGTTCAGAGGGAGTAGTGGTGCACAACTGTAATCCCAGCACTCAGATCACTGTATTCAAGGTGAACCAGCACTAAATGGTGAGTTCCCAGTCAGCCTGGAACAGAGAGACCCTATCTTACAAAAATCAAACAAACAAACAAACAACAACAAAAAAAATGACAACTGAAAAAACTTGAAAACACATTGGCCAGGAATTTAGCTCAGTGCTGCTGCTGCCTGCCTCACAAGGGCAAGGTCCTGAGTTCAATCCCCCATACCCAAAAAAAAAAACAACTTGACAACACAGATGATGATATTGTATCAATGTAAAATTTCCTGAGTTTGAGAATTGTACTGTGGTTACATAAAAGAATATTTATGTTCTTAGAAAATACATACTGAAAAAAAATACACCAAAATTCTAAATACTGAAGTATTTAGAAATCAAGAGGCCCACAAAGAAAGAGAAGGAACAAAACAAAAATGGCACAGCAAATAGGAAAAAATATTTTAAATGAGTGAATTTGGGTAAAAAGAATGAGGAAGATGGGTCTTTATACTATTCTATAAGTATGCATTATATAAAGAAAATTACCAAAAAGAGAAAAAAATCATCAAGCAATACCTAAGTCTTTCTCCTGATTTTCAAATTACCTAAATATCCCAAAGTGCATTTTCTTCCAAGACAGAGTACTACTGGAAAAATACAGAAAGCTCAAGACTAAACAGTCCACCTGGGCCAGGGATTTAGCTCAGTGGTTCCGGTGCCTGCCTCACCACAAGCGCAAGGTCCAGAGTTTGATCCTCGGCACAAAAAAACAAAAACAAAAATAGTTCACCTAACTATGAACTCTCAAGGCCCTAGAGATGCCTGAATAAACACCCACAGAGCACAGAAGAAAGGAATAGTGGAGATGGCAGGGAGGATGGGGCTCCACAGCGACCTTACCATGCCGGAGCCACCGCAGTAGTAGCAATGCTGCACCTTGGTGCCAGGCTCATTCCCCTTGCCATCGCAGCGATCACAGGTATCCATGATGTTCACGGTGAATTCCTTGTTGACACCCTTGGCAGCTTGATTGAATGTCAACTCCATGATGTACTAAAGAAACCAAGGTATAGCTTGTTATTCTCCACTTTACAACCAGTAGTGATGCTCTGCTTCACAAGGATAGGAGGATGCTTCTATCGTTGTAGATACTATTTAACTACTGTACTTACCAGTACTTGTACTCTGCCAGGTGAGAGTGGCTGGGACTCATGTATCTGTTCCTGCTCTACTCCTCAAGATTGTTAATGGACAATGTATGTCCTTTTTTTGTGTGAAGCAGAGTCTCACTAAGTAGTTCAGGCTGGCCTTGAACTCACTATGTAGCCCAGGCTGGTCTCACACTCGCAGCAATTCTCTTGCTTCAGCCTCCCAAGTGCTGTGATTACAGGCATGTGCAACCACGCCTGGCTACAACATATGTCTTAAGTGAAAATATACTTTTCAACAAGCTAAAACTGTTCACAGATAATGCTTTTATGTAGTACTTGTTACATTTTGGTCTGTAATATCTCTCAAAGGCCCAAGTCTTAAAAGGTCTGGTCACCAACTTGATGGTACTAAAGGTGGTGGAATCTTTAAGAGATAGAGCCTAGAGGGAAGTTGTGGGTCACCGAGGACATGACCTCAAAGGATACTGTGGGTCATCATTTTTCTTTTTTTTTTGGTAGCAGGGATCAAACTTGGGGCCTTGTGCTTGGGAGGCAGGTGGCGAAACCGCTGAGCTAAATCCCCGGGTCGGTTCCTCTCTTTTTTCCTTTGTAGGGCCAGGGATTTAGCTCAGTGGTTCTGCTGCCTGCCTTGCAAGCGCAAGGTCCCGAGTTCGATCCCTGGTACAGAAAAAAAAAAAAAGAAATTCAGTTTTTTCCTCTGTAGCTATCATGAAGTAAAAAACTTTGCTCTACCATGAGCACTCTACAATGATATGCTTCCCCATCATAAGCCCATAAATGATGAGGCCAAATGACTAGAGACTGAAACCTCTGAAATCATAAGCCAAAAACACCTGTTCTTTTTCTTATTTCAGGTATTTTGTTACAATATGGAAAGCTGAGTAACAACACTTAATAAAACTTGAATTGTGCATAGTCATAATTTAAATCACGAAACATTTCTCCTCCCTCTTCAACTCTAACAATGTCTTATTAAGAACATAAATATGAAAGAGATTCAACAGCATCCTTCTGCAGAATTGAGCTTCCTTAGCCAAGTCATTCACACATAAATTAGATTCTGAGGACCATAAGTGCTGCCTCATTAAGCAACTTTCAAAGAATATAATCGAAATGGTTATATTCAGTAATACCTATAGGATTTTTCAATTGCTGTAATCATCTTTTACCAAATGGCTACTTTGCCTGAGAAATAGAAACTGATAAAAATCTGTTTGCATCACACTTAACAGGCTAAAATTGGAATGATCCTTCAAAATAAGCAACTTACTTCCTGAGGCTGATCAAATACACTCTGGAAATCTCCAAAAGATGATGATGATGAGAACTCCCCAAATATCTTCCTGAACAGCTCCTCTGGGTCAACAGAAGGGCCTTCCCTCCAGTACCTCTGCCCAGAGCTGCTGGCCCCACGATCAAAGCCAGAAGAGCCGTAGGTATCATACTGCTTCTTCTTCACTTCATCACTCAATACCTATGATAACAAAGGCAGAGCCATCAGGCATTTCTACGTCATCTGAGGTTCAGGAACACAGACAAACACACATCAAGTAAGGCAGTCACAATATTTACTAAGAGGATCCTGTGCAAAAATATTCTGTGAGGGTCTCTGGGGTGGCTAGGACTATGTCTTCAGCACCTAGGAGAGGAAAAAGATGACTTCCCTGAACTTTCCTTTTTTTTTTGGTACCAGGGATTGAACTCAGGACCTTGTGCCTGTGAGTCAGGCACCAACACCACTGAGCTAAATCTCCAGCCCTGGAATCTTAAGTATGGAGATTGAAGTACTTGAAAATATCTTATAAAAGTCCCCAGGGGTTTCTAAACTGAAGAAATGCTTGTTAACCCTCATATGACCTCAAAGGCACCCTGGACTTTTCAGATTCACATTTCATCTCTTCATAGGAGACACTGCTTGGTAGAAAACTTGGACTTTCTACCCTTTACTCTTCATGGACAGGTCTGGAAGCCACAACAAAAGAGCAACAGCAGTAACAACAGGAGGAACAGCAGTTAACAAGGGGAAGGGAGAGTGTATCAAGTATACATGTTGAAGATTATACTGAGTCCTAGGGCCAGGATTTA